AATAGGTTGCAAATGAAGTAGGAACGCAAGTTTGGGATAGGAACATGAACGTTTGTAATTAAAATTGCGCAAAATTGAAATTGCTTGGAGAAACTTTAGATATAGCACTACTCTGAATGAAAGAGTTATAATTATTAAATTACAGAATCTCATATAATAGTGTTTACTGTCTAAGGGAATTAGCATGATCTGTTAAAGAACGTGGCATTAGATGCTCGAAGTGTTTATAGGTGTGATTAATATGTGGAACAATTGTATGTAATATAACACTTTTATCATTTCGAGTACACGTGACATTTTATTTATGACGGAACTATGGGCCAGAAAATCTATATAATACGCCAGATAATATAGAATCTCATATTCAATTGTTAGTTATTTTTGGGAGGACGTGGCGTCTGAATGATCGACGCCACAATAACACTGTAAATGAAGTGTCGTATGCAATTTCGCACGAAATCGGACATTCTGATATTTCTGATGATCGATTGCGACATTATCGTTAATGCGATCACTCTAAAGTAAATAAAATAAATAAATATACTTACAATATGTGTATTTCTATGTACAGCTTCTGGGCATTTGCAATTTTCAATGTTTGTCACGTTCTTTAATAATGTAGAATATAAGGAATTAATAATTACGGCGTACACGATGTTTGTATGTACCTAGTTCTGAGAGAAATGGGATACTTTTTAAATCGTTCCATTGTTTTTATAGTTGCATATATATATATGTAAATAAGTTAAATTGGCATATTATTTGTCCGATATGGACAGCGAAATGAAGTGTCTGATAAACAAAGCTAATCGTTATATAACAGATAAAAATGTATGTCATAACAATAATGTGTTTACGGGCTATCGTTTTTAAAAAAATAAAGAAAGAAAGGAAATATGCTAAAGTAAAAAGTACCTTCATCTTCAGTGGCTTTCCAATATACTGTAAATGTCAGTATTCTGAACAATTTCTTCCATTGCATATTATCGACGATCGAAGCTTGTTATCGAAATGTTTGTAAAAATTTGCCAGTGCACTCGAATCTGTTAAGAAACCAGCAAATCATTCATCGTGTGGTTAACAAATTGGTGGCGTGGCAGGTAGAAAATTGCTGAGGGCTACTTGAGAAATTATCCAAGATTATGCAAACCACTTTGCAGATAAGAATGCGGTTTGAGATTATTATATCTGACCAACCTGTAGCAGATAATCATCATCAAAACATGTATAGGTACAATTATAAGCTTACTCATTCAAGGTTTCCGCGCCTACTCCGAAAATTGAGGCCGACTGCTGGTTATACCTCTAAAAGAATAAAAATGCACAATGTTGTGCTGTTTGGTTACTATTATAAATTCTTTTAAAATGGCCTACAAAAATACATGTCCAAGGAGCTGAATTTGCGCAAAAGTATTGATGTACATGTGTACTTCAGAAAACAGCAGCTTACGGCATGTATACATAATATAACTTTTACCTTATCCACCGTATGTATATTAAAATTTTCGTTGTTTCGTCCGATTATGTATTTCTTTCTCAACGTGTCAGTATAGTACAGTGTATTTTGTATAGTATAGACACGGCACAATAGACGAGGTATATATTGGGTGATGCTAGCGTGATGCAAGCTTCGTCACTGTCTTTTTTTTAACCAAGTATTTCACTTTTCTTTACTCGGCGTATTTTGATCTTATGACGATTAACAGTGGTTGATTGTCTTTTCGAGGTGCACCATACGAATTAATATTTCGGGGAGATCATAAATTTTGTCTACTACCTCCTTGCTGACCTTGATGATTTCTAAACATCGGTATCGTTTATGTCAATGACCAGCATAATTGTCCGGATGTTGATCTGGTTACATCCATCGTTCTGTTTATTCTATTATACGCTAGGAATCTATATAACTTCGACTACAATGAAATGTTTCATATGGAATAATTTTGGAATATCTCACATTTTATTATAAATTTCTACCACAAAAATATAGTCTAAAAAATGTAGTAATTAAATAACATCTTAGTTTTCAACAAAATACAAATTGCTAGTTACCTGCAATATCACGATGCCACTTCTCACCAGAGTTTTCCGAATTTCTTCCAAGCTCCCAAGCTTTTGAATGAATTTAGACGTTTGTAAAGTTGGCTTTGTACAGAGATAGAAACAGAATGATAGAAATCAATAAGTTCATACTTTTGAAAAGTTCATATAGCAGATCAGAACAGAATAATTGGAATGGAATTTCTTTTACGATCCTGACAACAAGCAACGTATGGTATACTTTAGTAAACCAGAGATCGATTCTTCATTGGCTTCGAATGCATCGTACGTAACAGAAATAGTGGAATCGATTTTGCTATTTTTTATACTTTCTTGGTTTGCCGCTATGATTGGATTCTTGTTTCTGCAAGATTTGAAACCGTGAGATATTAATCTACCTTGCACCGTTAAAAATACGTCCAGGATATAAGTAAACTGGTGAATGACTACATGTCCAATAGTTTACATAAAAATCTATAAAATAAAAATTTAGAAAATACTCAAATTTGTACTCCTTCTGACAGATAGAAGCGAATCTTCCTTGAAATATTCTTTCTCCATACATATGTGTATAGACATGAATATATATAAATCTGCTGCGTTGTAATAAATGAAGGCAATGTAATTTTAATTTGCTAAACACTGTATTGCTGGCTACATAAAAATTATGAATATTATATGTCATATATGTTGTATATTCGTTAAAAACGATTTCTAATTATGCTTTTATTTTGTCTGACTTTCGAATTACAGTACATATTTCTTCTAATATTAATATTTTATCTTTATACTAGAGCAAATGTATTAGCAAATGTATTAGCAAATGTTTAACTATTATATTATGTTCATTGTGTGCGTATATAGTTTACTTTAACACTACAATAATACAATGTTTACTATTTATGTGGTACTTATCCTAGTTTCCCAGCGCAGAATTCCGGGCATTTAAATTTGAAAGTTAAACATTATTCAATCCACCAATTCATTACGCCACATCATGTAGATCTAACATCAGCAGTCAACCTTCATATCACTAGCTTTCTTTACGATCATAATAGTATGAGGGTTCATGTTCTGCGTAACAGTCCTCGGCAGGATCGAAACGTCTGCAGCCCTCAAAGTTGCAGATAAAAGCCCTAATGTATTTTCTCATAATAGTAAATATCTCGTGGAAGTAATTCAATTTATCGAAATTACCAATGTATTTGTTGTCGTACGGTCCTGAAAATTCCTTTCTACCAATAAATCATTAATTACTTTAATGACATACTTCTTTAACTCTTCTTTTGGATTTCCAAAGAGCACGAGAATTTTCGATACATTTGTATTGTTGGCCTTTTTAATGATTTACTCAACTGTTGCGAACAAGTATACACAATTAGACACTTTATATGTATATACCCTATTTCCGGCTAAACTGGAAACACTTAAATATTTAGGAAAACACAGAAAGTATGAAAAAATTTGTGTGAGATATTAAAGAATACCCAAAGCTCTTGCGTATTTGTCTTTGACTTTGAGACGACATGTGAACGTTATTATAAAATTTGTAATTGCTATATTGACCATCTGTGGTTTATATATTGTTGTAACTGAAATACATATTTTTTTTTTGTTACAAATCCCTCCGCTTTCTATTACATATTCGTTAAATGTCATTGATGACTGGCAGATACTAATCAATGTAAATCACGTAATTAACGCTTATCAGACAAATTTGCAAATAATTTCTGTGATCTTAATAATTTTCAAGTATTCAGGGAGATATAACACAGAATATGGGAGTTCAGTTCATTCAGTTCAGTTAACTTCTACAAATTTCCAAGATTTTTAAAGTATACTAAAAACTCTTGTGTAAGACTTAATGAAATACCTAGTCTTCTAATCAGACATATTCTCCTGCCTGACACTGTCGCATTTCTCAATTTATACGCCGGACTTATGTTATCCAAAGATCTAACCTTCATGGCTGATTGGACAACTCAATAAGTACCCTTTTGGTTATTTATGGTACAAATCAAAATCAAAATAAACATGAATAAATTTCTTCCTGCAAAAATAAAATTTTGATTCCTTTCCGTACGAAGATAATAAGTTATTCGTTGCTAGTTCGAGTGCTGTTTTAAGTTTAGATAAAGAGTTAAGGCAGTTTAGATAAAAATGCAATAACGAATTGAAATGTTATAAAGCATTCACGCATAATATATTTCTAAGACTTTAAAACATTCTTTAAAAATGCTTTAATTCTGGATTATCTGATGGATCAATAGCATTGAATACATGTTATCGTTAGAACGTTTCAGGCACATGCTAAAAATCGGCGCAATATACAAGAAGATAAACATCATTGCATGCGCAATCAAGAACATTCAGAATGTTTATTAAAGAATTGAAGACGTTGGGTTCCTAAATACTTTTCAGTATTAAGTATCTAACTATCATATTTTATTTTTATGAATTAATACAAATTAATGTTAATGTTTTTGTTGATTGTTAACTTTTACTGCTAAATATCATTATATGTTATCATGTTCTCTGACAAGAAAAAAAAAAGTAGTAGTTTTCGTTATATATGTACTAGAATAGCTATACGATATTTTGTCTTTTCGTGATTTGTATTCACGGCGCAGCGGCATGTATTCGGGAAATGTTTTGTAGGATTTATCTTCGTTGCCCAATAATATAATCGTTAATTTTTACGAAGAAATACTTAAAGGTTGAGTGGTATAACATTAGTACTAGGTTATATCTGATGTACGAACAGAAGATTGGAATAGGAATTAACTTTACATGGAATTGCAATCACATGGAAATAAAAACGTTAAGACATCACTTGTGGCCTACTTTCATCAAAAGTATTCCAATCGCTCAATTACGTGGTCTCGCATACTAGTGCTTACTGTCTAAATTTGTGTGAAAAGCCAAATAGGTGTTGGATGTACGAATTGTTTATGAATGTGATTGGTACGTGAAATGCAACTCCGTTTGTAGCAAAAAAATCGGATACAGTATATATTTTAATCGTTAGGTTAATGCGACTATAAAATGAATAAAACAAATAAATGGACATACAATATGTATATTGCTATGTACAGGTCCTAGTCAGGTAGAAATTTTCTGATATCCATAGCAAAATTAATTAAGAACAATAGAAAAATGAATTAAAAACTAATTTTCTTAATGAAATTTACTTAAATAGTAATAATTACGAATTTGTATTTAATAGCATGAATATACGATGTACACGATGTTCGTACAAGTTACTAGCTTGTAAAAGATCGCATCAAGCTCCGATTTAAAGAATATCGTATTTTCGGTTCATTTGTTTCATAAATACGTGAAACATAAAATTTATAGCATTTAATAATATCAATCAATAACATATTTTTCAGGTAAGACAGTTGAAGTAGTAAACAGTGTTTACTGCTAAAATGTAGTAAACACTTTTTATGTTTAAAAAGTAGAAAGGTCAATATGGGGAAGTTTTAGAGAATCTAGTTTTCTTACGATAGTTTTTGGATGTTTCGTAGATATTGAACAACTTTTTGAACAACTTGTTCCTTTGCATATTATCCGTAATCCAGTTTCCGAAATATTAGCAAAAATCTGCCAG